TTCCTCCCTCGTCGCCGTCGTCCGTCGTCGGCGTCTCGTTGTCGTCCCTCCTACTTCGTCGCCGGCGTCGTCGTCTTCTTCCCTCCTCCCTCGTCGATGTCGTCGTCGGCGTCGCCGTCCTTCCTCCTTCTTCGTCGTTCGCGTCGTCGCCGTCCTCCCTCCTCCCTCGTCGTTGTCGTCGTTGTCGTCGTTGTCGCCGTCGTCGTCCTCCCTCCTCCCTCGTCGTCTTCGTTGGCGTCGTCGTCGTCTTCGTCGTCGTCGTCGTCGTCGGCGTCGTCGTCGTCTTCGTCGTCGTCGGCGTCGTCGTCGCCGCCGTTGTCGTCGTCGTCGTCGTAGTCGTCGGCGTCGTTGACGTCGTCGTCGTCGTCGTCGGTGTCGTCGTTGTCGTTGTCGTTGGCGTCGTCATCGGCGTCGTCGTTGTCATCGTCGTCGTCGTCGGCGTGGGCGTCGTCGTCGTCGGTGTCGTCGTCGTCGTTGTCGGCGTCGAAGTCGTTGGAGACGTCGTCGGTGTCGTCGCCCAGCTGGGATGTGCCCAACAGTCAGCGCCACCGCGGCCGCGTCGGTCGCGCCATACTAGCTGGCCGCTGCACGCGCGCTTGGGTTGGCGCGGCCGCACAGATGGGCCAGCTAACTCCAAACAGTCATCGCAATCGTCAACACACTGGTTTTGCAAGTCAAGTTGCGGGTGGGTGGGTGGAATGTTTGCAAGAGCGTGGGATGTGTCCACTCGTTTATTAAAACCAATTCTCGTTTCTAAAAAGAGAATAGACTCTACCCCCCCGGCGTTATCGCCCCTCCCGCGTCCTATGTAAATCACATATGTATATGACCACATGCCCATCCTAAATATGGCATCGCAATGCCCCAGGCCAACCGGGTTCCCCCCCCTGAGGTTCCCTTGTGAGAAAAAAAACACTATGCGGTGACATTTTTTGTTCTAGCATAGCAGTTATTCACGAATCCCTTGTAAAAAATTAGACGAAGTGCACGCGCGCGCGTCGTCGCGCGCGCATGCCGAAATCCTTCAAAAACCCTCGGTGCCGGAAGGATTTCGCAATCGGGTTTTAAGAAACAATACAAAAGAACATGGTTTCGCAAGACTGATTTGCGAAGAAAGCTTACGCGTGAACTTTTGCGAAATCTTAAGAAAACCATTGGTTTTTCAAGATTTTCACAAAATGCTACCAAACGGGCTTCGCGCGCGCGCATGTCGAAATCTGTCGAACGCCCTTGCGCGCGTGCCGTCGCAAGAGTCCTCTGCAGAAAAAAAGGGCGAAGTGCAGACGCGCGCGTCGTCGCCCGCGTATGCCGAAATCCTTCAAAACCCATCGGTGTCGGAAGGATTTCAAAATCGTGTGTCCAAAAAACATACAACAGCACAAGGTTTCGCAATACGGATTTTCAACAAAAGCGTGCGCGCGCGCTCCTGCGTCGTCGTCGTTGTCGTCGCCGTCCTCCCTCCTCCCGCGTCGTCGTCGTCGTCGCCTACGTCGTCCTCTGACGTTCCTCGTGTTCGTCGTCGTCGTCCTCTTTGGCGTCGTGGTCGTTTCCGTCGCCGTTGTCGCCGTCGTCGTCCTTCCTCCTCCTCCCTCGTCGTCGTCGTCGTCCGTCGTCGGCGTCTCGTCGTCGTCCCTCCTATTTCGTCGCCGTCGTCGTCGTCGTCGTTGTCGTCGTCGTCTTCCCTCCTCCTCCCTCGTCGTTGTCGTTGTCGGCGTCGCCGTCCTTCCTCCTTCTTCGTCGTTTGCGTCGTCGCCGTCCTCCCTCCTCCCTCGTCGTTGTCGTCGTTGTCGTCGTTGTCGCCGTCGTCGTCCTCCCTCCTCCCTCGTCGTCGTCTTCGTTGGCGACGTCGTCGTCGTCTTCGTCGTCGTCGTCGTCGGCGTCGTCGTCGTCGTCTTCGTCATCGTCGTCGTCGTCGGCGTCGTTGACGTCGTCGTCGTCGTCGGTGTCGTCGTCGTCCTTGTCGTCGTCGTCGTCATCGTCGTCGTCGTCGTCATCGTCGTCGTCGTCGGCGGCGCCGTCGTCGTCGTCGTCGGTGTCGTCGTCGTCGTCGTCGTTGTCGGCGTCGTCGAAGTCGTTGGAGACGTCGTCAGTGTCGTCGTAGTCTTTGTCGGCGGCGTCGTCGTCGTCGTTGTCGCTGTCGTCGTCGCCGTCGCTGTCGTTGCCAAGTGCCATGTGGTACCCACCGTCACGGTCTTAAGAGATTTTGCAAGCCAAATTGCGGGTGGGTGGGTGGGATGTTTGCGCGAGCAGTGGAGTGGACAACTCACTGCGAACAGAAATTAATTCTCCTTTCTAACAAAAAAAAGACTCTCCCCCCTCCCCCCCCGGCGTTATCGGTCCCCCTTTCGGGTATGTGAATCACATATGATCCTGACCACATGTCCAGTTTAAATTTGAAATCACAATGTCCCAGGCCAACCGGGTTCCCCCCCCTGAGGTTCCCTTTTACCAAAACACTATGCGGTGACATTGTTGTTCTAACATAACACTTTTTCACGAATCCCTTGCAAAGAATGAGACGAAGTGCACACGCGCGCGTCGTCGCGCGCGCATGCCGAAATCCTCAAAAAAAACCTTCAGTGCCGGAAGGATTTCGCAATCGAGTTTCAAAAAAAACATACAAAAGCATATGGTTTCGCAACGCTGATGTGCTAAAAAAGCTTCCGCGCGAGCTCTTGCGAAATCTTGAGAAAACCATCGGTTCTCAATATTGTCACAACATGCTATTAAACGGGCTTCGCGCGCGCATGTCGACATCTGTCGAACGCCCTTGCGCGTGTGCCGTCGCAAGAGTCCTCTGCAGAAGAATGGAGCGAAGTGCAGACGCGCACGTCGTCGCGCGCGTATGCCGAAATCCTTCAAAAACCATCGGTGCCGGAAGGACTTCAAACTCGTGTAGGTTTCGCAACACGGATTTTCAACAAAAGCGTTCGCGCACGCTCTTGCGTCGTCGTCTTTGTCGCCGTCCGCCCTCCTCCCGCGTCGTCGTCGTCGTCGCCTACGTCGTCCTCTGACGTTCCTCGTGTTCGTCGTCGTCGTCCTCTTTGGCGTCGTGGTCGTTTCCGTCGTCGTTGTCGCCGTCGTCGTCCTTCCTCCTCCTCCCTCGTCGTCGGCGTCGTCCGTCGTCGGCGTCTCGTCGTCGTCCCTCCTACTTCGTCGCCGTCGTCGTCGTCGTCGTCGTCGTCGTCTCCCTCCTCCCTCGTCGTTGTCGTCGTCGGCGTCGCCGTCCTTCCTCCTTCTTCGTCGTTCGCGTCGTCGCCGTCCTCCCTCCTCCCTCGTCGTTGTCGTCGTTGTCGTCGTTGTCGCCGTCGTCGTCCTTCCTCCTCCCTCGTCGCCGTCTTCGTTGGCGTCGTCGTCGTCTTCGTCGTCGGCGTCGTTGTCGTCGTCGAAGTCGTCGGAGACGTCGTCGGTGTCGTCGTAGTCGCTGTCGTCGGTGTCGTCGTAGTCGGTCTTAAGAGGTTTTGCAAACCAAGTTGCGGGTGGGTGGGTGGGATGTTTGCAAGAGCGTGGGATGTGTCAAATCATTCGTAAAAATCAATTACACCGCATATATTGCACCACATATATTGCTTATATTGCTGCACATTGATTACACAATGTGTATATACATGATTGTATATACATGTGTATATATATACGTATTCCTAGCAACACACTGTTTGGGGCACACGCTCGTTAACATGGAATAGTTGTTATTGTTAACGTGCAAGCTGAGACAGGGGGGGCGCGTGTGGGAGTTGGCGAGCGCCCTTCCACGAGATGGATCCACCAGCCACTTAGCTTCTTGGTGGGGGGCGAGGAGGGGGGGGAGAGGGAAGAGGTGGAGGGAGGAAAACGCAGAGGAGGGAAGTGGGTGAGGGATGGGCGGGAGGGAGAGAGGGGACCAGAGGGGAGAGGGAAGCAGGAAGAGGCGAGAAAGGGGTGGGGGAGCAAACAAGAAGGAGAGGGCCCGTCCGGGCACGCTCGCATCGCGCCTGATCCCACACCCTCCTATCCATCCCCTCCCACTGTGCTCATGTGCCAGCCTCTTATGTCTGCCGAGGCGGTTGCAGAACCGGACCGAGACCCCAAAACAGCACAACGCGAGGGGCCGAGCAACACGGGAAAGCGAACGGAGAGGTCGGACGACGCAGAGTGCTCTTTACCAGAGAGCGCATCGGGCGGTGCGGTCACTCCCGGGCGCTCCGGAACGATGCCTATTCTTCCTGGGCCTGCCGGATAGAGAGTCCGCAGCCTTGGGCATGCTGTCCGATGGGGCGCCTCTCAACGGGTTGGCTGACGAGGAGGAGGGAACGAGGGGGCAGAGGAAGGAAGGGGGGGGGGGGCTGGCAGGTGGAGGGGGGGCTGGAAGGGAGGGGGAGGGGGGGCTGGAAGGAGCAGGCAGAGGCGAAAAGGGTGGAAGGAGCCAGAGGAGCAGGAAGAAATCTTTGAGCCCGCTCACGGCGCCCCTGAGACGGCCTGCCCAATCGTCCGACGTCGTGCTTTCTCCAACGCGCGGCCCCAAGAAATCCCGATCCATCCCCTGGGGCAACTGTTTCACCCAACGCGTCAACCGAGGTATTTCTTGGCGACCCTGGACCCGAGAACGGCCCGAGGGTCTGGGAACAGCGGCCGGCCACCGGTGAGAGCCACCCCCCTTCCCCCGAGCATCCAGGCACATAGACAGGCGGCCCTACGCCGAGGTGCGCGTCGGCAAGCGCTGCTGTATCGCAGTCACGAGTGGCCTCCAATCACGCTCGTCTTGCACAAGGTTCGGGTGTTCGTTCACGGGGGGTGCAATAAACGTGGGGTGGAGAAGCGTGCATCTGTTGTGTACCTCGTGGGCTCGCGGTGGCACGTGAGGGGCAATTCAGGGCCCTGTTGGGGCCACCTTCCTGAACTCCTCCATCACCCCACGTTCGTGGCCCCCCCGTCAACGAACACCCGATAATCTGTGATGTCTCTCCCCCCCCCCTGGGTTCCCACCCCATGCCAGGTGCTGCGGGCGGCGGCGGTCGTGCCTTCAGGCCCGCCCCGTGGCGGGTGGCCTCCGGCCGCTCTTGCCATGTCCCTCTCTCTCCCTCTCTCTATATCTGGAGGAACGGGAGGAAGAGGACTTTACAATGCGACGACGCTGATGCCTCTCCACACGTTCATGCCCTGTGCGACCCCACTGCAGTGCGTGGGGGGGGGCCTCAAGCGCTGGCCCAAAGCAGCACAACTGCTGGGAGTCCAAACGGATACGATACGATTTACCAAGAGGAGGAGGAGGAGGAGGAGGAGGAGGAGGAGAATGAAGAGGAGGAAGAGGAGGAGGAGGAGCGGTCGGGGTCCAGAAGAAACGGGAGATCAAGAGTTGGCAGGGACTCCCACTCGCCCGCTTCGCGCGCGCGCTCAAGTTCTCGCCCCTCGCTATGCGGCGACGACAACACGCATAGTCGGAGAGTTTCATCCTCCTGATCCCCGTCCTCCTCATCGTCCTTATCATCCTTCTCCCCCTCCTCCTCCACCATCCCCTCCATCCTCGTCCTCGTTCTCGTCTTCGTCCTCCTCCTCCACCTCCCTCCTCCTACTCCAATGCGTGTCCTCCTTATACTTCTTATTGTCGTCGTCCTCTCTTCCCTGACTTCAATCCTTTCCTTCTGACACGTATTGCTCCTCCCTCTCTTTCTCTTCATCATCTTCCATTCTCGTTCTTACGCTCCTCCTCCTCCTCGTCATCCTCGTCCTGCGTCCTCACTCCACTCCTTGTCCCTGATTATCACCCTCGTCTTTGTATTCCCCGTCCATTTCCTCATCATGTGCCTTCTGCCCGTCCACACATGATTTCTGTTGAATTCCTTATGATACCATGCACTTCAAGATTCGCCCCTTCGGTACCGCGGCCAAAACAACATGCATTGTTCCACCTCCGCCTCCGCTTCCCCCTTCCTCCCGATCCCTCCCCTCCCCCTCTTCCCACTCTACCTGCGTATACTCACTGTCATCCCCCACTTCCGCCTGTACTTCCTGCGTCCACCCTTCTCTCTCCCAGTCACCACTGTCTCTTAGGGCACCCCCAAGACTGACACCAAAGTGAAATGAACACGAGACCCACTCTTGTGCCGAACCATGAGAACCAATCGGCGTGTTAATTATGCTTTCAATATCGTTTAACAGGAGAGTGGCTTGCAGCCTGCACAGCCAGATCTTGAGCAGCTCGTGATGCGGAGCCTCGCAGACTGCCCCCCCACACAGGAGCCCAATGAAGCCTCAAAACGACCCAAACTGTCCTTGTGGACGCTACTCAAGAAGACGAGGCGAGAAGCCGCACATGCGACGGCCGTCTGGGCGGTGCTCGAGGGGCCGTCACAAAAGATGCCTCGCTGGCACGGCGGCGGATTTGTCGCAGGCATCTGGACATGTTAGTAGGTGGATGGGTCGGGACGAGGACATGTCAGGAGAAGGACTGGGTACGAGGTGGGGGGAATGAGAGGACGGGAAATGGCAGGAACCTGCCAGAACAGAACGGCTGCGGTCCACGACGACGTGTCCCTTGGCAGCGCAGCGAAACAGCCCAGCACAGCCGAATACATGCGCCGGACCGAGGTGCCGGCGCCGGGGTGCGAGGGAAGGCCATCGGCATCGTTATGTTCTCTTCCTCTTAGCGGGGACGCCCAGACTCCCGACGTCGTGTCGATTTTCACGACGTGGACTCCCGGAGGTCTCGATCCTGCTCCCCCAGACCAGATGGGCATCCCGAGCCACTTTTTCACCCTACAGCTGCCAGGTGTCTGGTCAGGTCCGGGGGTCAAAGCTCGTATACAGGGCCCGTCCCGGAGCGCGTCCTGGCCAGGATCGCGAGGGGAACCCAGCCGCCACGACAAGGAGCCCTCCCTGAGGCGCCAAACCAACAAAAAAGCACGTCAAGAAGCGGGGGGCGCAGGGGGAGCAGGTGGACGCCGCCTGCAGCTGCTTGCGGATCGCCACGATCTCGCGGTCGTCGGCGCCCGTGGGCGCCGCGGGTGCCTTGCGCGCGGCGGTGGCCCCCCCGGAACGGGCCCTGTCGGGCGAGAGGGCGGGAAGGGACGAATCCAACGACGGCGCACACGCAGACGCCGACGAGGGGGCGGGGGGAGGGGGACCTTGACGTTCCAGTGTTGAACAAAAGACTCCAAACCTAGAGACCTATCAGGATAGCTTACGACCTAGACTGGAACTTCAGCTCCAGCGTCCCAGTGCTCGTTCTCAGCCCTGCCAGAAGGTCAGCGGAAGCAGGGGCGAGAGGCAGGAGAGGAGGCGAGATTGATGCGAGTTAGGGTTTCGGTTCATCTGGGTGCAATCGCAAGCGGCGGCACACACCTGCCTGAGCCGATACGTCTCGAAGAAGGCAGGTCCGCTGACATAAAAGGCATAGAGCAGCGCGGAAACCAATGCTGAATACAGATCCCCGGTGTCAGAAAAGAACAAAACATCTCGCGCTGCCGCCGCCGGGTGCCGGCCACCCTCGCCCTCGCCCTCGTCCCGCTGCGTCCTCCTCGCCCTCGCCCTGCGCCGTCCTGCGATCCGCCCACCGCCGTCGCCGTCGTCCGCCGCCCCTCGCAGAGGCTACCATCGTCCGCCGACCGCCGCAGAGGCTACCGCCGTCGTCGTGGTCGCCGTCGACGCCGTCTGTCCTGGGGAAGAAGATAAACTCCCAGGCCTGTCCAGGGCCCAAGGGGGCGCGAGGCGGATCCAGCCGTGGCGACGAGGGCGCCCCAGGGGGCCCATCAAAACGTCGAGAACTTCAAAAATCTGCGTCGTCGTGGTCCACGCCTGAAGTCTTACGTAGCGAAAAGAATGCAACAACGTGGGAATAATCAAGACTGGAGCCCTCGAATCCATCTTTTTGCTGCGCTTCTCGAGAGCAGAGCTCCCGGCGCCCGAACTCGGGCGAAAACGCCCGATATGCAAACATTTGCTCCACCCCGAGCCCAAGGGTCGTCGGCATCGTCGTCGGCGACTGCTGCGCCGCCTGGTGCCGCCCTCCCCCTCCTCCTCCTCCTCCTCCTCCTCTCCTCCCCTCCTCCTCCTCCGCCTCCTCCTCCTCCCCCTCCCCCTCCTCCCCTCTCTCCTCCGCCTCCTCTCCTCCCCCTCCTCCTCCTCCTCCTCCTCCTCCTCCTCCTCCTCCTCCTCCTCCTCCTCCTCCTCCCCAGCCCATTTCAGCACACCCCTTTTGCTGGGCATACCTGTCACCGTATCTGCGTCTATACTCGCGTACATGGCATACGGGTGGTGAGCACTCGCTTTCTACTCGCACGTGCACCATGGTCGCTCACACGTTCTCCCTTTCCTCTTACAACTGTCTCAGCATGCTGCAGCATGACAGATTCCAGGACATATCTCGCACGTTACGCACCAGCGTCATACTCATCCAGGGCACACGTCGTCGCGTTCATGAACAAGATCCATGTGATACACATACTTCTGCTGAATACCATCAATTTCATTTTGGGTATCATCCTAAACAAGGCAATGCACATACTGGCGTCACTATCGCGTTAGCTTCCCAGAGGTTTTCGAGGTCTAACATCATCTCCGTGTCCTACCCTAAGCAGCAGTATCTCTGGGGTCGGGGGGGCGCTGTCAGATGCAAAAGTCACCAGTCGGACAGCACCTTCGTCTCCGCCTACCTCCCCCCCAACACGGACACGGCCAGATCCCGACGAGATTATCAAAAAACGCTGGCGTGGCTTGAAGAACTTTATTCTTCCCTACCATCCCGTACACTACCTGTGCTGGGCATCGACTCTAACGAGCATATCGGGCTCATCAGGACCCCAGCGGGCCCCACACCTACCGACGATTCCTGCACTGGGCCTTTTAACAGGAGTCTTCAGCAACCTCGCACCCATCAGTTCATAGAGTTTCTTCTCAAGCATGACTTGATTTTACTCAACACGTTCTACCCCACCTTCCCCACATATTATCATGGAGTGTCTGGCTCCTCAAGTTACATTGATTTCATCATTGTGCCTCGCAGTTTCTATTTGGCGCAGCACGTTCGCAAATGTCAGACTTTACGTTCTCTTGGGGATCGTTTGCAGCTGGTTCCTGACACGCGTCGAGTCGATCATCACCCAGTCTATGCGCTCATTGAGCACAATCTACGATACGAAGGGCAAGAAGCAGAGTGTCACGTTCGCTGGGATTTCGACCGACTTGTACAATCTGTTATGCAGGGTTCAAAAAGACAACAGTTTCTCATCGCTCTTGACAAGTGGACCGAGGACAACCGTTTCGTACTTGATGCTATCGCCAACAAGAGCTCATCTGAACAATGGGAAATGCTTGTTGAAAAAGGTCTTCTCCCTCTTGCTGCATCACATTACGGCAAGCAGGCTCAACAAGCTGGACCGCATTCTCATGAACGTCAAGAGCTACTTCGACAACGACGGGAGCTACGAGTTCAGTGCCTACAAGCGCCTGTCGTTTCACAACATGGCATTCTTTACTACTCGTTTCAGCACTGGCATAACCTGGCATCACTGTTTCGTGTCAATCGTAATATTCGTCGCCTTCACGCTGCACGTCTCAAAGAACTTAACGAACAACGACGTCTCGAGCTTCAAGACGCCTGGCGACAACGACGACTGGCTGAAGCATGGCAATTGGCACGACTTCTTACAGGCAGACGCATTGGACGAAGACTTCGTAATTATCACAAAGCTGCACTTCGACGGCGCTCAGAAGCCGAATGGTTTGCCAAACTTTCTCAACCTGGTTCCCAAGGCGGCTGGAATTGCATACGTTTACCTACCTCACAAGTACGTCAGGAATTCTTCGACGATCATGATGACGAAGTTCACGTTAGTTATCAGTGCCACTTACTTGGTGAATATGACCTCAAACAAGTCAGCTGGTGGATACGAAAAAGCTCAAATCGTAGAACGCCTCCTTCCTGGGATGTCCCCAACGAAGTCTGGAAAATGATATTGTGGCCCCAGGCAGTCTACAAGCAGGAGACACATGGAGTTGGTCATGATCCCACACTTTACGAGCCGAAGCTTTTCGTCAAACGCCTTCAGCACATCCTCGACATGACACGGGCTACTGGTCACAGTCCATTTCAGTTTCATCGCAGCCAAGGTTTTCAAATTCCCAAAAAAGATGACGTTCGAATCGTTCACAGCATATCATCGTTTTCCAAGGCTTATCACAAAGGTCTTTTACGTCGGCCTGGCAAACCTTCGCGGCCTCCACCTCATCACGCGTTTGCTGTTCCTGGCCGCCGTCGAGAAGAAGCTATTCTTGTCAAGATGTTGGTTTCTCATCGGTGCTCCAAACATGGTATCAGTATCGCCAATCACCACTACGATGTGGTCAACGCGTTCGCTTCGCCGTCTCATGACATTATGGACAAAGCTACTCACTTTCTGATGCTGCCTCAACCCGACGATGACTTTCCCGAAGAAGAGGAGGCTACGCCAGTTCACGTCGCTGAACAGGACGAACGGCTACTACGACAGCATCACCGACATGCCACGTGTGTTCTACAGACATCGGATATTCCCGCAGAATTTTATCCTCGCAGCGGCACGTTCCAAGGCAACAGTGTCGCGACCAACGAGTTTCACGTACCGTACTGGCAAGCTGTTCACGCATGGGAGGAAAAAACGAAAGATCATCATCTACTGGCCGTATCTCCTCTCAATGCGGCCGTCATCGACATGTCCATCACCTCCTTCGTCGACGATCTATGTAAGCAGTACGCGGTTACTACACCTACGAGCTTCTACGATACTCAAGCACGGCACGACACTGTCCTGAACACCATATTCGACGAGTACACGATCGCGCAGCACACGGGCAAGAGCGAGTCCACCGTACACTTCGTCGGCACGCTTGCGCATGCATATCAACGACAAGTACATGCACAACAGTCACAATACAAAGTACTCAGCGCAGCACGATATCTCGGGCCATATCTACACTACCGCAATTGCTTCTATGTCGAGCGAAACTCAAGGATACAAGCTGCCAACAAAGCATGGTTTATATTCAAAAGGTTTTGGTTCACTCGCACTGATCTTCGCTTTCGCGTTCTCGTATTTCGATGCACAGTATGGTCAGCACTTGTCTCAGGGCTCACAGCTTTCGTCCTCACCCAGCACGACTACAACATCTTCGACAAATATATACTGTACAAGGCACGTAAACTCATGAAAGGCAAGGCTACCCAAAAGACCCTTCTCGACGACGGCACGATTAAGTATCGACCCATTCCATCGATCGAAGTGTGGCGCAACATCGGCATGGCAGACACACTTACAGAGTTACGTATACAGAGATTGAAATGGTTTCAGAAGATATGCAGTCATCCTCTTCATCATCAATTGTACGTCACCGCTATGTTCGGTCGCTTTCCTCACGACCCCCCAGAAGATGCGATTTCTCACCCTTGGTTGCAGCAGCTGAATGAAGACTTGCAGGCATTATCGTTGCTGGAGTGTGCTTATTTTCTTGAAGATGTATCCCCGCGGCAGTTGCTAGACGCTGGCACATTGCAGGAAGACTTTCTCGAGATCGATATCTCAGCATTGCGTGCTAAGTTCCTCTCAGTCAACATACCTCCTCATCACCATGCGTATGACACGCTAAATCCTACTACATCATCATGTTCTTTACCTACAGGTGAATATTATTGTGGTCTCATGCGCACTGATGGTAACATATGCACACTTACGTTCCCCACCATGAAAGCACTCAGATTACACCGGGCACGCGAACAGTCCATGCACGGCATGATTACGTTAGACTCCATCGTGTTAGAGGCAGTATGTCCATGGTGTTCTACACACTTCTCTACTCGTAAAATTGCACAAGATCACGCAAGGCGTAGTTGGCATTATGGTAGATGTATTGTCGACCAGAGCTTTATCCCCTCGCCTCCTATTGTATCGGACACAACATATTCATGCGCTATATGCAAGCTCTACGGCAATAATTACGAGTGCGACGACATATACGTGTACAATCATCATATACGTACCAAGCATCTCTCTGGTCCAAGAAGATTGGAGTTCTCAGCATCCGATACTCTCAGCATTCTTCATCCTACTGGTCCCTCAGAGAGTGCTGATGGATCTCGGCCTAGCAGCAGGCGGCGCCAGACCGCCACAGAAGGAGCGACGCAAAGGAGCCAATCAACACGACCTGCAGGCCCTCGTTCTTCTCATAGCAAAGTTGACCCTCAGTACTGCTATGTCGTCGAGGATTCTCAGGGCCATCGTATTGGAAAACTATCAGGTGAGCGAGAGCTCCGAGTATTTCGTCCAGGGGAAGAATTCTACCGAGAGCTATGCGGAGGCCGCGAAGCAGTACGGGAAGGACCAGAAGCAACAGAAGATCGCAGCCCTCGCTCATCCTCACGTACACGTCTGGAATGCATGGATCATCGTGGCGAAGACGTCTCTTGGAGTGAAAGACCTCGACCCGCCGAAGGCCACCAGTCTTCAGCAGTACATCGACAAGATGAAACAAGGCAGCCCCGAGACGTCCAAATACCTTCACAATCTCCTGAAAGAAGTTCAATATGCACGATGCTGCAAGACCTACGACAGCAAGACCAAGCGCCTGGAGGTCAACGTCAAGCCCAACAGCGACAGCGAGAAGGTATTGCAGCAAATCCTGGTTCCGTTGTGGCTACGCGACAAAGCAGTGAAGCTCGAAGGAGTGGCGCCACCAGGGGACCTCGAGCGCAGGATTCAGCAGGCGATCGACGAGTTCGAGGCCCAGTGATACCCTCAGAGGCAGCTCGTGCCGTGCCTGACCCAGGGCGGGGGGCGCGGTGCGAGTGGGGACTGCCCGGCGGTGCGCCGTTAGTGACCCTCGCACCGTTGTTCCCCGGCCCCGCGCACGGCGCTGAGAGTTCAACTCTGCCTCTGGCTGGATGGAACAAAAACGTGCCTGACCCAGGCGCTCGACGAGTACAGCAGGCAGATCATCCTGCTGCGGACGCTCGTGCTGTGCCTGTCACATCAGCCGATCATCGAGTTCGGCACGTAGTGAGGCCTGCTGACGCTCGTACTGTGCCTGATGTTTCAGGCCCCTGCCGCCAGCCGAGAGACAGATCCCCTCCTCGTCCCCCCCCTCCTCCTCCTCTTCCAGTCTTGAGTGTGTCCGACGGAGTTCGACTGTCGTCACGGTTTCAGGAGGCTCGTTTGAAACATGAGCGATCTAAATCGAGATCACAGGGATAAGACTTGTGGTGCACTTGTGCTACAGGTACGAGTGTACGGCGTTCGCGGCCCCTCACGCTTCGTGCTGATTCGGGGCTTGCGTGCACTGTCGTCGGTGGGCCTTGCTCGTGTCACCCCCTCTACAGTCGCGCGTCTCTGAGCGTATGAGCCCCTGTTTAAGTCCTTTCTGCCAGGCTGAATCGACAGGTCTTCGAACGATCGCTCTTGTGAGTTGTTATTATTATTATTACCCCCTCCTCCCCCTCCTCCCCCTCCCCCTCCCTCCCCATCCACCCCCCCCTCCCTCCCTCTCCCTCCTCGAATCCCCATCTGACGAAAGCCCCGCCCGCTGCGCCGCCGCCGCTGTCGGGCACCGCCCGTCCCCGCCCCGCTGCGCCCTCGCCCGCCGCCCGCCGCCGCTGGCCCGCGGCGCGCGCTCGCGATCGGCGCCTGCTGCGCGGCCACCGCCGCCCGCTGCCGCCCGGGTCCCTGCCGCGCTGGCGGCCCGTCCAGCGCCACGGCCGCCGCCGCGCAGGGCCCGAGGGCGGGCGCGGCGCGCCGCGCCCAGCGCCACATGGCGGCACCGGGCTCTGCGGGCGGGCGAAGCCCAGAGCCCCTCGCGTCGTGAAGAAATCGGGGCGGTGCTTGTGCTTCCCAATTTCGGCCTCTGGAGGCCCCGCGGCCAGCCACGGTAGTATCGAGGCTGACGGGCAGAAGCTCGAGAGGTGGGGCCTCGGGAGGCCCACGGGGCCTCGGGACCAAGACCTGCTCGCGCCGTGAAAAAAAACACGGAAGGTTCTTCCCTTGTCTCGGCCTCTGGGAACCCTCGCTGGGTCCCGGGGACCGTCAAAAAGCGACTCAGGATGAAGAGCCAGTGCCCAGGGAAGGGGTCCAGACCTCTGGGGGTCCGCGTCGTAAAACAATCACGACGTCGGGGGGCCGGGAATCCAAATCTCCGACAATATGACCTGTTTCAACCTGGGCGTTTCTCCCTCATTTCGGCTTCTAGGGGGCCTTTGTCGGGCCCCACGGCCATCAAACACTGATTCAGCACGGAAAACGCACCCTGGGAACATCGCCAGGAGCCCTGCAGGGCCCCGGAGTGAAACAAACACATCGTCGGATGTCAAGATCTACGGGCGGGCGAGACGGAAAGGCGGGCCCTGCTGCTGGCCGCTCGAGGATCGGGGGTTCGAGGCCGCCTGTCTTCGTGTGCCGATCACGTGCTCTCCAGCAGAAGGCAGGACGGCTTCCGAGAAGCCGTCTGGTCTCTCCAAAGATCCGATGTCGCAAGAAAATTGCGACGTAACCCTCGAACCGATCTTCTTATGGCCCTTCTCGAGCCGGATCGATCCGTGAGAGTCCCAGGGCCCGAAACTGGGCTAAAACACCTGGTGTGAAAAAGCATTGGCTTCCGAATACCCCCCCCCTCACGCCGAACCCCCTTGTCTGAGCATCGTTTCAGCGATCCTAATCTCCACTGGCGTGCCCTTGGCCCTACCGGCCGACTCACCCACCCAGGTGGGGATATGTGCCTGCTCCTTCGGGTTTCGCTGGGTCGATGCCCATCAAGGAGGACGGGCTGGTAGGAGGGCGCCTGAGTTCACGCTTCGCCCTGCACGAAGCGCGAAGTGCGAACAATTTCGCGCTCTCGCGCCATTCCGTCCAATTGGGGTAGAACATGAGGACGAAAAAGAGAGAGAAAACGTCCACCTACGGTCACCCGTCACGGCGGTCACGTGCGTTTCCTCGCTCAGCACGGCACACCTCCACGGTGGCCCAACGGGATACGAGCTCCATGCATCCCGCGGCGCGTAGGATATCAGGAGCGGACCACGTCCTGCGTTTCGCGCAGATCGGATTGGGACCTTTGCCAAGCGAATGATACGATTCGAGGTAAGGATCAGACGCCTCATATAAGAATAACGAAGAGATGTCGATGCCCGTCCCTCGTCTTCGCCCTTGTCAAGCCTCCTGAGGGGGATGCTCGTCACCACGGCTGGTTTTGCCTCGGATTCATAGTTCGAGCGCTCACCGAGAGAGGTCTGGTGCATAATGTTTGGTTCCCACGGTACCTGTGACGGTTCGGGTGTCCGCGTGCATGGAGTCCTGCTCTGCTGAAGTAGATGCCGCCAACCGCCGTCGCTGACAAAGCCAATGGGGGGTGATGAGGCTAGGAAGGAGAAAGGCACTTCAAGAAAGAAGCTCCAACGAGAGATGCCCGCCGCTTCATGTGGCTCTCGGCTCCGAGGCGCCATCCAAAGGCTGCCTGGCTGGCGTGCGTTCCAATCCTTGTTTGGCGCCCTCACCCCCTCTGGGCGCGTCCATCCGCATACACCGCCTTCGGTCTCCAACGCCTTCTAGATGGCCACCACGGGAAGCCGAAGAGATGGCGAACGTGCTTATGACTCGTGTTTTCAGTGTTTGCCGTTTATCCGATTCGACCGAAGAGATCGCAGGAGGCTCCCAAGCGGCTCAAGACATCCCCAGAATGCAGAGACTGCGTACGAACCCCAGAAGACTGCCCCAAGGAGGCGCCGAAGATCTTCTCAGGATAGCACCAAGACCGCGCAAGACCGCTGCAAAACGGCCCCAAGACTTCAACCAAACGGCCCCGAACCCCTGCAAAACTGCTGCAAGTTTCCCGCAGACGGCCGCAAGAGCCTCCGCGATGGCATGAAGACGTCCAGCAAGCTCCCAAGAGACCGTGAGAAGCTGTTGTAAACAGTCGTGCAACACACTGATGGGATGCCTCAACGTTTCTTCAAATGGTGACTTAACTCTTACCTGCTTCGGCCCTCTAGGAAACAGAAATCATGTGTGCCGAATGTTACACCTTCTGAGCCCGGAAGCTGGCTCCCACCGCCTTCTCGCGACTGCATAAGAGCGTATCGCAAACTATGGTCATCCGGACCCTGGGGACACGATGATCGGTGTCCAAAAGGTCGCCATTGGCACTATGGCGGGACACGTTGTGGGCACCTAGATGATACGTCGAGAACGGTAGAAACATAGAGAAAAAGAAAACGAAACACAGGCGAGTCTGCTTCAAACATTAGCGACTCCATAGGTCTGATCTCCTGGTCGATGCACCAGTACCAGACGGACGCGATGGGCTGCCCGAGCAGCATGCCCAGCCAAGGGTAGTCTATGTCACTGGGGGGGCGCGTACACGTGCGGGAATGGCGGGTGGAAAATGCAATGGGATGAAGCCAGGTAGAGAGAGAGAGAGAGAGTGTGTAGAACAGAAAATCAGCAGAGAGAGAGAGAGAGAGTGAGGGAGACGGAAGATCAAGACACATAACTGCGATATGTACGTAAATATGTATATAGAGAGATCTCCCTCTGTCTCTATACGTATATATATATATATATCCCAGGCATCTCCGAAATAGTGGAACTCAAAAGCAGGTAATTGTGAAGCGTGATTATGATTCTGGCCGCTTCGCTCGGGACATTCTCAAAATTATGGTTTTACCTAACAGCGACGACTGATAGGTTTCTAATGGGGTCAAAAGAGAGCATCTTGACACCCAGGGGGGTCCGGGCAGGATCCGGGGAGAAGCCGCGGAAGTCGATTTAAGCAAACAGTTACACACTTCGTGGTCTTCGAGGTCCCAGAACTCCATTCCCGGGCCACATTCTGAATGCCTGGAGCCAACTGTAAGCCACTTCGTGGTCTTCGAGTTCCCAGAACTCACTTCCCGGGCCACATTTTGAATGCCCGGAGGCAACTGTAGGCCACTTCGTGCTCTTCGAGTTCCCAGAACTCCATTCCCGGGCCACATTTTCAATGCCCGGAGGCAACTGTAGGCCACTTCGTGCTCTTCGAGTTCCCAGAAGTCTGGGCATGATTTTGAATGCCCGGAGCCAACTGTAGGCCAATTCGTGGTCTTCGAGTTCCCAGAACTCCATTCCTGGGCATGATTTTGAATGCCCGGAGCCAACTGTAGACAACTTCGTGGTCTTCGAGTTCCCAGAACACCATTCCTGGACAAGATTTTGAATGCCCGGAGCCAACTGCAGGCCACTTCGTGTTCTTCGAGTTCCCAGAACTCCATTCCCGGGCCACATTTTGAACGCTGAGGCAGGCTGAGGCTGAGGCTGAGGCAGGCTGAGGCTGAGGCAGGCTGAGGCTGAGGCCGAGGCTGAAGGCAGACTGAGGCTGAGGCTGAAGCAGGCTGAGGCTGAGGCTGAGGCTGAGGCTGAAGCAGGCTGAGGCTGAGGCAGGCTGAGGCTGAGGCTGAGGCTGATGCAGGCTGAGGCTGAGGCAGGCTGAGGCTGAGGCCGAGGCTGAGGCAGACTGAGGCTGAGGCTGAAGCAGGCTGAGGCTGAGGCAGGCTGAGGCTGAGGCTGAGGCTGAGGCAGGCTGATGCTGAGGCAGGCTGAGGCTGAGGCTGAGGCTGATGCAGGCTGAGGCTGAGGCAGGCTGAGGCTGAGGCCGAGGCTGAAGGCAGACTGAGGCTGAGGCTGAAGCAGGCTGAGGCTGAGGCTGAGGCAGGCTGAGGCTGAGGCTGAGGCAGGCTGATGCTGAGGCAGGCTGAGGCTGAGGCTGAGGCTGATGCAGGCTGAGGCTGAGGCAGGCTGAGGCTGAGGCCGAGGCTGAAGGCAGACTGAGGCTGAGGCTGAAGCAGGCTGAGGCTGAGGCTGAGGCAGGCTGAGGCTGAGGCTGAGGCAGGCTGATGCTGAGGCAGGCTGAGGCTGAGGCTGAGGCTGATGCAGGCTGAGGCTGAGGCAGGCTGAGGCTGAGGCCGAGGCTGAAGGCAGACTGAGGCTGAGGCTGAAGCAGGCTGAGGCTGAGGCTGAGGCAGGCTGAGGCTGAGGCTGAGGCAGGCTGAGGCTGAGGCTGAGGCTGATGCAGGGTGAGGCTGAGGCAGGCTGAGGCTGAGGCCGAGGCTGAAGGCAGACTGAGGCTGAGGCCGAATCAGGCTGAGGCTGAGGCTGAGGCAGGCTGAGGCTGAGGCTGAGGCAGGCTGAGGCTGAGGCTAAGGCAGGCTGAGGCTGAGGCAGGCTGAGGCTGAGGCTGTGACTGCGACTGCCGTCGCCGCTGCGACTGTCATCGCGAATGCGACTGCGACTGCGAGAACAGCAGCATTCTACAACTGGATTTTCATCTGAATCTTAAGGGGAATGCTTCCAGATATGCTCCTACACATCGCTGTTAGGTTGCTTTGCGGGGATAAGCTGGTGGAGCACCTAACGCGCATCGCGAAATGAAAGCAATCAAAGACACATTGGTTGTCATTCACTTGGGTTTTCCACGTTGGGAACAATGCGGCGTCGCCTTGGACATCCTCCAAACATGGAACCAATCTTGAACACGAGTATTGTTACATGCAATTCCGCGTGAGACATATGCCTAAAATTGAGCCCCGACGTACAACGCGCACACACACGGAACACGCACATACCACACTCACACACACGCACCGCACACGACACACACACACAACACACGGACAGAGAACACACACAAATACACAAAACATTCACAACACACACACACACATCAATACACACAACAAAAACACACAGAGAACACGCACACACACACACACGCACACACACACACGCACGCACGCACACACACACCCACACACACACACACACGCACGCACGCACAATACAAACTCAACCCTCACACACAAAGACACACACATTTACACACAGATATATGAATGCATATATATATATATACATATATATATATATATATTACAAGCGCAAGCGAGCGCCTTGCAGAAAACGCGGAGAAGAGGGGGAGGGAGGGAGGAAGGACGAGGCAACTGAGCCCAGAGCTGCCAGCGTAGCCTCAATCCGGAGGCCTGGCCTGCGACGCGAGCCGCCGTCGGAGCACCAGCGCGGCGGCGCGGGGCGGCAGCGAAACGGCCCAGCCAGGGCATGGCGGGACCGCCAGCGCCGACCAGCGCGGGGCCGCCGCGCCGCAGTGGAGGCTGGCGACCCAGCTGGGGCCCTGCGACGCCACGTGCGGCGCCCAAACGCCGCCCTCGGGCAAGGCCCTGGCGGCCTCGGCGGCGCCTCGCTGTGGCAGTCCTTGCCCCGCAACCCACGGCCGCCACGGGCGGCGGGAGGGCGGCCGTCCTGCGGGCGCGCCCGCCGCTGCCGCTTGCGCCGGTGGCCCGCGCTGCTGGTCGGCGTGGGCAGGGAAAGCCCGCCGCGGCGGCCCGCCCTCCCAGCGTCGGCGCACCCGGGGACCCCCTGGCCCCGCGGCTTCGTGGTTCGCGCGAAGCGCGGCAAGCTCCACGGCCGCCAGCAAACGTTGGAGCACCCAGAGCGCGTGCAGCCGCACTTGGCGCTGCGTGCAGAGGCCCGACGGGGGGAGCTGGGCGCGCGCCGCAGCCCCCGCCAGCTCGTCGGCGTCTGCGTTGCCCGCGCGATCCTCCGGGGCGACCCCCCGGGCCGCCGCGGCCTCCTCGTCGAGGTGCCCCTTCACACACATCGCACTGTGACGTAGCCGCTCTGGCAATGCGGCGTCAGAACCTCCCATTGGTCCGCGTGCGTCCACTCCCGGGGGCGCGCGCCGGCATGCAGCGCCGCGATCCCGTGGCGCACGCGCTTGGAGTCGGAGACCAGCTCCAAGGGGGCCCCAGCTTCGCTGACGGCATGCACGGCCGCGGTGAGCTCCGCGCGCTGCGCGGTCTGAGCCCCACCGACAGGCCCGCATCGCCGCGACACCCCGTTGGGCCCCTGCAAGCGCACTCCCCAGCCGGCCAGGCCCAGCAACGGATCAGGGTGCTCGCAAGCGCCGTCGCTCCATGCCCGCACTCGGACCTGCCCACGGGCCACGACCGGGGGCGGCAGCGGGGGCGGCGGCAGCTGCTGTTGGGCCAGCGCGGCGAGCGCGGCCAGGCGAGCGTCCGTGGGTAGCACTCCGGAGAGCTCGACCCCCAGGGGCAGGCGTGCCAGCAGGGCGGCCTCGCTCAAGCCGCCCGCCCGCAACTCGTGGCGGCGGACCCCCCCCCCAACACACACACACACACACACACACACACACACACACACACACACACACACACACACACACACACACACACACACACACACACACACACGCACACGCACACGCACACACACACACACACGCACGCACGCACGCACGCACGCACACACACACATACATACACACACATACACACACATACACACACCAGGCACACACACACACACCAGGCACACGCAACACCTGCACGCACAGACAACGCACACACCGACCACACATAACACGCAGACCGGACAGGCTTCACACAAAGCACACGCAACATACAACACACCCACACAACACACATCAAACCTAACATCCCAACAGACACACACACACACACTTGCAAATCCGGACCATGTTTGTGGATGAGCCAGGGCGAGAACGCGCAACCCAGTGGTACACACACCGAACAAACGGTGCATGCATCTATATATGTATACGGGTATATGAGGAAGGGAGAAAGAGAGAGAGAGAGAGAGAGAGAGAGAGACCGAGAGAAGGACAGAGAGAGAGAGAGAGAGCGAGAAAAAAAACAAAGACGAGCAATAACCATCCAGACAGAGAGAGAGACAGAGAGATACATATCATGAGGGAGAGAGAGAGAGAGAGAAAGAAAGAGAGAGAGACAGAAAGAGAGAGAGAGAACAAAGAAAAGAAAGAAAGAGAGAGAGAGAGAACAACAAAAAGGCAAATCAGCACCACCACCAGCTAGCACGACGGGAGGAGCGACCAGCAGCGGCTCAGCTACAGGCCCACCAGTCTCTCCTCCCCACGCCAGCACAGCCAGAAGCTCATCACACCAACCCATGGTAATGAATCCTGCGACCGACAATGTACGAACATGGAGTCCGAAGATGGCCTTCCCTGGCTTTCATTGGGATCCAGTCACGCCGACCTGACCACTTGGCAGTTCACACCTTGCATCCCTGCGAAGTTGGAGCCAATCAGGTGGAAATACTCACAACCACAATTCTCAGCGACGGTGTGGTACTTCTCACAACTGCGATGAGAAGCTGATGATACACGAACGCCATTGTCTGTCACCTGGGCCGAGCTTGCGATTGACTTCACTATCTGCACTGGTCTTCCCTTGGTGACTGCTCAAGAGAATGCTGAGACAACGACATTGGAGAGAATGGCTAGGTTCTCCGGT